CTGGTCCTGCCCAACATCTCTCTCGGGGCCAGCATCCCTGTTCACCCCTGCTCCCAACCTCACAAAGCTCCCCAAACTGCCTCCTGCACAGACCTGGGCTTTGGGGAACAGGGGTCCCTGATGGATGCACCAAACAGGTTCTCAGCCCAGGGCAGGGAGGACCTGGCACAAAGATTCTGAGAAGTGATCCATACTGGCCACTCCAGCAGCAGGAACTTGCTACCCATCACTCCACATAGGTCTTGAATGCGCCACTTGACTTTCAGGATTTCTGACTCTCTGAATTTCAGAATCCTGTCGGAGGGGTGGGGCCAGGGGAATGGAAAAAGGAATTTACAGGGAAGTTTTTAGAGATGTGAGAGCCTTGGGAGGGTAAGAGGTGTCCCTGTCCCAGCTCTCCAAGTCCAGTAAGAGGTGTCTTTGTCCCCAGCAGTCTAGACCCAGAGCAGCAACCACAGGCAAAGCAGTGATGCCCGAGGGCAAGGTGAGAACAGGCAGCTCCAGATGTGAGGCTATGTGCATAGGAGTGGCAGCCCAGCCAGCATGGCCCAGGCTCTGGGGGATGAGTGTTGCAGCCACAGCCCTCGGTCTCTCCTTCATACAGGGATCACCACAGAGGAAAGAATATCAACATGCCCATGGGCCACCCAACAGCCAGGGGAAGCAGGGCCTGCCCAGTGTGGAGAGAAGGAAACAGAACCTGAGAGAAGGGGGCTTCACTCTGGACAGGAGCAGCCATAGCGCCCACCTGGACAGCCGTCACTTGGGCCTCACTCCAAGGCCTACCCATAGTACCCTGGTGCCCACAATGCCAAGGCCCATATCCCCCAGCTACAAACTGTGGCTCACAGCACCCTTGAGTTGAGCTATGGCACTTTCTAAAAACGTGTATTAGTTGCCAAAACTTAACCATCAAGAGATCTCACACAAAACACAGATTTGGGAAGAAAGGGCCCACAGCCACCAGAGTGGGCAAGGCTGCACTGAGGGTAGAATTGAATTCCTCAGCCAAGTCTTGATAGGGCCTGTGCAGGGCTGGCCCCAGGGCACCCCTCACCAGGCCCACAGGGCTTGGCAGAAAGGGAGAGTCAGAGAAGGCCACCAGGCTGGGGAGGGGGCAGGGTGCAGGTACTGAGGTGACTATGAAGAACTCAAACCAGGATCTACCTTGGGAACTCCTACAAGGCCAAGGAGGTCCCCAGAGGCCACAGGAGGGGTGAAGGTGGGAGGGGCTATATGCAGGGCTGGGGCTCTGGGGGCATGTCAGCCCAGGAGGGGAGGCTGCCTAAATGGGGGTAGCAGGTGGCAGGCAGGGCCTCTAGGGAAAAGGAGGGGAGTTAGGGGGCACCCCAGTAAGCCTTGACCAGCTGAAGTTTGCAGGTATCAAATTAATCAGCTACAATTTTATACAACATTTAGAAGAGTCTATCCTAGGAGCCAACCACATCCCTGGAGCTTTCCAGTCGCTTCTTAAAACCCAGGAAGGCCCTGACCAGGTGGCTCAGTTGGCTGGAGCATCATCCCATGTACCAAAAGGTTGCTAATTTAATTCCCAGCCAGGGTATATACCTAGGTTGTGGGTTCAATCCCCAGTTGGGACATGCATGGAGGCAACCAATCGATGCTTCTCTTCCCCTCTCCCTTCCTCTCTCTAAAATAAATAAAAACATATCCTTGGGTGAGGATTAAAATTTTAAAAAGAGCCAAAGAAGGACCAGGGCTGGGGAAGGCAGAGGTGTGTCCAGCATAGAGTGTGCTGCCCCTGGGTTAGCAGCGGGTGGGGACCCTAGGCCCCAGCATGAGGTGAGAACAGAGGGCAGGAAGGCAGTGCCCACTGCACTCACACAGTAGGGCCAGGCCTGAGGTCCCACCTCCAGGGCAGGAAGGGCCCAGCCCTCACTAAGGCCTAGAGGAGAGGTAGCTGGGTAGCTGGGCAGCTGGGCAGGAAGGTGGCACAGCACTGAGCTGGGCTAAACAGAAGGCATCTGATGGCCCTTCCTGCCTGGGCCCTAGCCCTTGGACCACAGCCACCCCCATGGGCTGAGGCAGGAGAGTGAATTCTGCTGATGCTTGCTGGTCCCTAGCCCAGGAGGCATGTGCCAGGGAGCAGGCATCTTTTGCAGTGGGTCAAGGCTAGAGGCCCAGCATGGGAACACGGGAAGTCTCAGAGTGGGACTGGAACCTGAGCTGAGGAGCAAAGGGGGGCACCCTTTCCACCTAGCCCCACCACCCTATACTCCTGTCCTCCACCTGTAGCTGTGCCCTGGGATGGGATCTGAGCCAGTTTCTATGAGGCTGGGGCAGAGAGAGGAAGGCTGGGCCACAGCAGCTGGAGCTCAGCCTGGTCCTCAGCTGATGCCATGGGCTGTGAAGAGCCTTGCAGGCTGGTGGCTCAGGGTAGGAGCAAGGGAGGTGGGGGGGGGGGGGCGGAGAAGAGGTGTCCCTGGGAGAGGGGCCGCCTTAGGCTCACTCAGAGCAGGAAAGGGTCACTAAAGTAGGGGCCCCCATTTTCTATCCTCCAGGGACCCATACAAAAGGTAGAGAGGCTAAAGTCACAGCTAGGACCCTGGAACCAATAACCCTGGATGCCCGCAACTTCCACCTATATGCCTCAGTTTCCTCATCTGTCAACCGGATGATAGGGTTGCTGTGAGGACTCTGAGACGCCAGCACACGGGCACTCACTGCATGTCCCAAGTGAGAGTGGGAGCACACCAGGCTCTTGGCCTGCCTGCACATGCTCTCCTCATCCTCAGGCTGCACTCAGAAAACCATGGCTCAGAGGAGCTGGACTGCCCAGCTCCAGGTCACACAGCTGGTGAGGGGGAGAGCCAAGAGGACACCACACTCAGCCATTTGTACAAGACGGGTGTGAACAGCAATGCCAGCCTACTGAGCCGCCCTCTCCTGGGGCAGGTATATTGGGATGGAAGGGGGTGCAGGTAGTAAGTCTAGGGGTGAGGCAGGGGCACACTTCTGAGAGCCTCAAAATCAATGCAATAGGATCCCCAAACTTGCAGACTGTCACCACTGGGCGGACAGTCTGGACATGACTGACCCCACATACAGAAAGGGCACTGTCCATTCATGGGCAGTGTGTGGTGCCCAGCTGATGAGTCCATGGGTGAAGAGCCAGTACCCCTGGGGCTCTGGAAAACAGGTATAGGGGAGTGGTGGGGGGCAGGAAAGGAAGAAGGGGACTTCTGGCTGTGGCTTCCCAATGCGCAAGTAAGGCCCTTCTCATTAATGGGCCCAAGTCCAACTCCACAGTCCACATGTGGGGTCTCAGTTTCTCCTCTGTGGGAGTGGTCAGAGAGGCAGGAGAGCAGGACTAACTGGGCTCAAAAGCCCCCACCCAGATCCCACCCAGAAGAGGCCCTGGGGCACAGAGAGTGAGGAGTGTATGTATTTGGGGGGGGGGGGGTTGCGGGCAGAATAGGGTTGGACCAACCTGTTCTCCCAGACTTGCAGGGTGGTCTGTGGGCATAGACAGCACCTCAGCCAGCTGCCTGCCAGCCACCAGCCATCAAAAGACTGAGAGAAGCATTCCCAGCCCTGGGAGCCTGCCTTCCTGCTGGGTAACAGGCTCTGGGACACCATGTGGAATGTCTCCAAGGAACTCTCCCAGCATCCATGCACCCACCTCAGGGGGAGGTTCTCTGGCCCCTTCCTGGCACAACCTGTGCAACACACCCCACAGAGGCTCTGATGGCCCTCTCCCCTGCTCCCCTAGGCCTTCCTCCCTGGGGCAGGAAGGAGTGAATGCTGAGTGGGGGCCTTACCCCTGGGAAGGCAAAGGGCCCCTCACTCAGGCTACAGGAAGTACCCTCAACACGAGGACACAGGGGCTTACGCAGAAGTGGCAGGGTCTGCACTGGCCCCCCTGTGTCCCCACTCGCTAGTTGGGCAGGCACTTAGCCTCACAGTCACTGTGAGCAGAAACCCTCAGCACCCCAGGGTGGTCTTCAGTCAGCAGCCCAAAGCCGGGGTGGGGGTGTCCCTTCTCCGAGGTCACAGAGCCTGTGAGGAATGGAACATGATTCCCACCATGCAGACATGGGGAGACCTCTCCTCCATACCCCACATGGGAGCGGAGAGCATGGGCAAGCCCAGCCCCCAGCCATGTGCACAGCAGGGAGCTGTGTCAGCAGGAGGCCACGGGACAGCTATTATTTCATTCGCCAGACTCCTCCCCTCTGGGCTCCCAGGCACCCCCATCCTACAGATGCCCTGTAACTTCCTCCACAGCAGGCCAGCCCTACCGGGGTCCCAACAAGTCAGCCTGAGGAAGCCCTCCCAGCCCAGGTCCATAGCAGCTCCGCTCAGCCCAACACTTGCTGTTAAAGAGGAAACACCAGACAGGCCCTGCCCCACAGTACCGCCATTCTCTCCTGAGAAGCCCAGGGGATGGTCCTGGAGCTGGTCCCTGTCACTCTGCAGTGAGCCACCACACTCCACTCACCCAGCCAATGGCAGGTGGGGGTGAGGGGCATTACTCTTGCCCTGCCCCTTGGCCTTCCTGCCTCCTTAAAGGGTGGGGGAGTGGGGCTCCCACACAGCAGAGGGCGACCTCAGCAGACACTGGATTCCCAGGAGGGGAGGGGGCCCAGGAAGATGTGCCTGCCCCCACCACCCATACACACAGACTTCCCAAGTTATCTGTGTCCTCAGCAAGCAGGGCCAGCATCTCAGGCCCCAGGAGGATGGTGGGATGGCTAGGCCTCTCAAAAACCCTGATCCGTCCAGCCAAAGCCTTTACAGTATCAAATGCAACACTGACCCACAGGAGGAGCAAGGGAAGGCAGGCAGGAGCCCACTGAGGCACCCTGGCCCACGCTTACCCCTTGTCTGAGTCCCCATGGTTGTCAGCCTAACACAGGGGCGGCACCCCCATCGCTTCATACATTGGATCTGGCCTCCAGGTCACAGAGCAATGCTGTCTCCTCCCCCCAGCTCCATCCACCCCATTCTCCCACCCCGCCTCCACTCCCAGGCCTGACCTTTCGAATGCGGCCACTTCGAGTGCCAGTGAATACCACGGTGTGGCCCCGGTAGTCATAGGCAGCCACGGCGGTCAGGCCATCCTCCTTGTCCACAAACAGGGGCGTGCCCTCTATAGTGACCGTGCCTCCCAGTGGCTGGTTGAAGTCCTGCCCACAGAAGTCGTCGTCAATCTGTAGGGGCTGTGGGAGAAGAGAGGTGAGTCTCTAGGTTGCTCAGTTTGCCCCAAACACCTTCTCCCTCCGTGGGGCCTCAAAGCCAGGACCAGCCAGCTCTACTAACTGAAGGGACTCACGGAGGGTCCTCCTAGGCAAGCACATGGCCATACAGAAGCGATGTGGCCCAGGGCACCCCCACACAGATCTGAGAGTGGGAACCAATTCGACAGATGGAGAAACCAAGGCTCCTTGAGGCCCAGCAGGCCCAGAGCTAGACCCATTTCTCACATGCATCCTACACACAGGACCCACACCCATTCTGGATCAGGAGGCATGAAGGAGGAGGCAGCTTGGGGAAGGTCAGGGAATAGTCAACCAGGAACCAGGCCCACTACCCCAGTGATAGCCACACAGAGACAGGGGGCAGCCCTGGAGGGGACTGTGGACCACATACTGTCTTGTAGGGTTTTATTCAAGAGGGGAGACAAGGGTCAACCCAAAAGGCAAGGGAAGGGGCCCAGCTGAGGAGGTGACTGAATGTGAAATTAAAGAGAAGACCAGAGGACAGGGAATGTGTGAGCTGTTCCAAGGCAAGAGGGAGGAGGGCAGAGTGAAGGAGGCAGGTTCTAGGTGGACAAAAGGGGATAGCTGGTCCCCTGGTAGCAGGCTCAGAGTCTGAGGTTTTTAGGGGGAGAGGGCCACCAGGGCTGGGAGCTAGAAGGAGATGGGCAGGAGGAGAGGCAAGGTCAGGACTGGGCTGGGGTCGTGGAGGGGATGTGAGGAAGTGGGAGCAATGCCCAGGAAAAGGGGCAGACCTGGCCAGGGGCACAAGAATGAAAATCACAGTGTGACCTCAGCAGGCACTGCCCCTCCAAGCCTGTTTCTCCATCTGTACAATGGAGACAGAGTGCCTTCCTTGAAAGGCCAAGAGGAGAATGAATGATGCATCTGCCTAGTGTACCCAGAGCCTTGAGGTGGAGGGTGGCCCTGTCACGAAGACCCCACTGCCCTGGACATGAGAAGGGGGCCCTCACCATCCCATCCGCCCTAGAGACAAACAAGTGCCACTCCCATTACAGATATGGGAAAACTGAGGCCAGAGTGGGGCTAGGCTTTCTCTGGGCCACCAGCAAATCCCAGGCAGCAGCAGTGGGGCTGAGCCTGGCTCTGGAAGTCCCCAAACGGTGAATTCCCGGCTCTTTCACTTGCAACCCTGAACAAGTTCTGCTCTAAGCCTGGTGTCTTCCTCTGGAAAAGTAAGTTGTCGCTACCACCTGGGCACACGAGATGCTCCCCAAAAGCAGCTGGTCCCAGGCCGGCCCGTCAGGGCCTAGAGACAGGAGCTGTGGCTGCCAGCTACTGAGCTCCCAGTCTCCATGTACTCAGGCGGCCCCAATGTCAGTGCTGGTGTCATCAAATCCCACATGGCCAGGCACCCAGGGCAAGGGTGAGCAGAGCTCTTGACAGGGTACTATGAGGGGATATGCTGCCTGGTGCTTCATCTCCTGAGCCTCACAGATCTCATCTGTAAAATAGAGACTAGAAGGGGCCAGCAAGCACCCAGAACAGTGTCAGGCACATAGTCAGTACTCTGTTCAACAGGGACTTGTGGACTGAAGGACATGTCCTGTTCTCCCCCCCCCCCCCCCCCCCCCACCTCCTAAAAGAGGACAGCCTAGAGCTGCAAGCAAGCTCTGAGGCCGACCACTACCCTCTGGGAAACAATGAGCAAGCGGCAGCACCTGGCACAGGGCAAGTGGCACATTGCTATTCAGAGGAGAATGGGGTCGCACGGAGCCAAGGCTGTCCAGTTTGTGAGGCTGGCAGGGCGGGAGCGGCCACCCTAAGGGGCAGAGTGCCCACTCACCGAGTTGATGCAGCCCAGCTCCTTGTTGAGCAGCCAGGGCAGAGAGAGCTTGCCCTCGCCACGGTAGCAAGACTGGATGCGCTCCTTGATCTTCTCCTTGATGGCCCTGAGCGTGAACAGGCACAGCACCGACTCCTTGGGCGGCTTCACGCGGTTCTTCTGGCCCTGAGCAAACACGGTGAACAGCACATCCTCGTTGTCAGCCAGGCCTAGCTGGCGAGCCAGGGCGCTGCCAGGCCGGCTCAGGTACGCGTCCTGCACCAGGCGGTACTCCACCCCCGCCTGCTCGCAGCCGATGGGGAACTCGACGTACGAGTAGAACTTTGGGTCATCCACACACAGCCGTACGATCTTGGAAGTGAAGAAGTGCTCGCCGGCGGCATCGGGCGAGGTCAGCTGCGTGTCCAGCTGCAGCGTGAGGTAGTACACAAACTGCTCACTGCGGAAGCTGTACACGTAGTAGATGTCGAAGGCCGGGAACTTGGACAGCGTGTCTGAAGGGATCTTGAGCTGCGACGACACGAACTCATCCTGGTACACAAAGCTGAACATGTCCGCGTCCTCCTCGTTGGCCATGAGCCGGCGGCTGGACAGCGTGGGGAAGTACTCGGACTTGCCGTCGATGGGCGTGCCCACAAACAGCTTGGCCTGGGCCTGGCCCGGCGGCCCGGCAATGAGCACACCCGCCATGCTGCCCGCCTCGCGCACGCTCGACAGGTAGTGCTCCTTGCGGTGGTGCGGCTCGCCCAGCTTGAAGAGGTCGTCCAGCCGCAAGAACTGGCAGATGCCCTGGGAGGCGCTGCCACAGGCGAGCAGGCGGTTCGCAGCGTAGTCCAAAAGCAGCAGCTTGTTGACGTTGTTGGTGCTGCCCAGGCCGTGCGGGCATGACTGCACGCTGGGCGGTGGGTAGCACTTCTCGTTGTCCTCCACGGGGCCTGTCACGTGGGCCCGCAGCAGCGTCAGGTTCCCCGACAGCTTGTAGATGCGGTTCACCGCGCCCACGTACACCTCGCCCGTCTGCTCGTGGACCACCAGGTGGGTGAGGCCCCAGTCGCTGGCCGAGAAGGTGCGGAAGACAGGCTGACGACTCCCGCCAGCCCGAGTGGCACCTGCCACGGCCCGAATGACCCCCAGCAGCAGCAAGAGCATCAGGAGCACCCGCGGGCTCAGACGTAGCAGTGGCATGGCAGGCCTGGGCCGCAGGCCTCGGTGCTCAGGTCCTGCAGGGATGTGCATCACGGGGCCAGGAGCCTCAGCCCTGTGGGGAGAACAGTGAGAGGAGGTGTGAGTGTGGGTAAGACCTTACCTCTACAGGGCAGACACGCCCACACACCAGCTGCTGAGCTCTCTGGTGTGCCTGTCTAGACTGGGGCATCCCATCCTCCATCTCCACAGGCGCGATCTAACCCTGGAGAAGCCAGAGGTGCAGAGAGGTCACCTCCTTGGCCTAAAACCCTGCAAATGCAAGGGGAGCACCGGGAATCATTAAGACCAAGCCTGTGACCCCAACATGTAGCACAGGACTCCTGTCTGGCTACCAGACACACACCATGAATGCCTAGGCCTACCACTGCCAGCAGGTGGAAGAAAGTGGGCCCAGGAACCAGGAGGCAGGTGAGAAGGGTTTGGGGGTCTAGACTGGGGGCCATCACCTCCTGACTCAGAGCCTCCCCATGTCCTAGGGGCAAGTTCCCCCCAAACCCCAAGCTCCCAGGGTGGGTGACAGCCTCTACTCTAGGCTCCGGGGACAAGTGCTCCCTTGCAGGCCTGGACAATCCTACTTGCAGGCACTACCCCACAGCAGACAAGGACACACGGGCAGAATTCTCAGTGAGGGCAGAGGGCAATCTGGGTCACCCTGGCTCTGGGGCCAGCTTCTTACTGGACCTCAAGCCCCTGTACTCTGAAGATTGATCCAGAAACCAAGCTGTGTGCATCTCTCATCTACCATCCGCACACCCAGCCAACAGGTGCCCCCCACCTAACCCTTCCCAGGTGCCCCCCACCTAACCCTTCCCAGATGCCTGCCTTCCACCTAACCCTTCCCAGGTGCCCCCCACCTAACCTTCCCAGGTGCCCCCACCTAACCCTTCCCAGGTGTCCCCCACCTAACTCTTCCCAGATGCCCCCACCTAACTCTTCCCAGATGCCCCCCACCTAACCTTCCCAGATGCCCCCACCTAACCTTCCCAGGTGCCCCCCACCTAACCTTCTCAGGTGCCCCCACCTAATCTTCCCAGATACCCCCGCCTAACCTTTCCAGGTGCCCCGCCTAACCTTCCCAGGTGCCCCCACCTAACCTTTCCTAGGTGCCCTAGTGAACTGCCTCTGAGTTCCCCTTCAAAACCCTTAACCCAACTCCAAGTAAAGAGAAATTCCTTCAAAGATAAGAGAAAACAGAGGCTCCCTGAACCTTACCTCTCAGCAGTGGCTCTCTCCCGGCAACCTTCAGCCCTTCTACCCCAACCCAGACCCCAGCCTGGCCAGCCATAGGCTCACCTCCACCCGCCTCTCCTTCCCCACCTCATCAGCTCCCAGCATCACCCACTCTCATAACAGGCCCAGGCAGACCATGATCCTCACCTCTACCCCCAGGTCACACCCACCCCTAAGCCTCCCCTAACCCGCCCACCCTCTCCCACATGGAGCACCATCGCACGTGGCCCCTCTGCTCATGTCCACCTTCAGCCCAGTCTCCGCCCAGCAGCCCAGGCCACGTTTCTGAACCACATTTAAGGTCACCAGCCCCCTCCCCAATTCTGCTATGGCATCCCCCTTCCTCTGGAAAAGCCTCATCTTCCCCCAGCCCAGAAGTTTACAGTCAGGTACTAGTTTAAGTCCAGACTCCGTGGCTGTAACCATGCAGCCCCATTTCTCCATTTGTAAACTGGGAATGACAACAGTTTCTTTCTCAGGGGTAAAAGGGGAAGGTCAGGGAACCCCCACAAGGTGCCACCAGCAGAGCACCCTCTCCATGCCAGCAAGGACCCCACCCTGGCTCGGCCAGATGTGCTGGGACCTCTCACCCAACTCCCATCTGGAGAATGAAGGCAGAGATGCTGATCACCAACTGCAGGCAGGTGCTGGCGAGAGCTGCATACATCCTTTGCTCCCAGAGAATGCCTCTAACATAGGTTGACAGCCCCATGTTACAGATTGGGAATCTGAAGCCCAAAGGACCCTCTTGGGAGCTGGGCACAGGGCAGCTGATGGCCAGACAAGGCCCAGAGACCTCCGTGTCTGCCTTCCCCTGGGCCCTTGGACTTGCTGTCCCCTCCCCTGCTCCCACACGCCTGCTGTCTCAGCTGCCTCCCCTAACCTACTAGCTAAAGGAAGCAACTGCTTCCTCACAACCAGTCACCCAGTTTGAACTTGCAGCACAAGGCTTGCTAATGGCTTTGTTACTTACTGTTCCCAGACACTCTCCCCACTAGAATGACAGTTCCCTGTGAGCAAGGCCTAGCTCTGTGATTTGCCACGGTATCCCCAAAGCTGACCTCAGGAGCCAATACTTCTGAATGAATGAATGAATGAATGGGTCCTGGACAGAGCAGGACTGGCTCCCTCACCTCATATCCTCTGCCCAGTGAATGCCCACACCTACTGCTCAGGTAGGGAAACTGAGGCTCAGGAAGCAAGAGGCATTAGCCAGGATCCCACTAGCAAGAAAACCAGGCTGTGCTGCCTTGCAGGACCCTCCTAGCAGGATGTCAGCTGCCTCTCCTTGAGGATCTCTGCCCAGACATAGCCCCAAGAACTACAGTCACCAGGGACCTCTGCTGGCAGCCAGGAGAGGAGTCCCCATCTCTCTGCACCCTGCCCCCAGCTCAGAAGCCGGAGAGGAGTTTCTCACAGTGGCAGCGAGGCCTGGGCTGAAAGCTGAGTGCATGTGAACTCCAAAGAAAACATGAATCACTCACCGTTTATCAGTTCAAAGCAGACCTGCAATTACCAGGGGCTGGGCTCTCCCCTCCTCCGGGATAATTATACACATCTTAATGCAATTACGGGCCCTACTTTTTATATTAAACAGGAGAGACTCAGCTGAAGAAGCCACCATCCAAACCCTGGGCCCACACCCCATGGGCTCATCCCCCTCTTCTCCCACAACAGAGACCGCCCAGAAGGGAAGAGAAGGGACAGGCCAATGGGATGGGGCTGCCAGCCAGGAAAAGGGGATCCAGGACCCAGGGCTGGGTCCCTCATGACCACCATCTCATATAAGAGCCAGCAAACATGTCTGGGTCACTTCTCCTATCTTAGAGATAGGGTGTCCAGGGCTCAGCTAGACCAAGGTCACCCAGCTAGTCCAGGCTGGACAGGGACGGATTCCCACGCTCCTACAGAGATCTGGATAGCCAGCAGACTTGCTGGGACTCCCACATACCTCTGGTCTGCCCAGGGGAAGAAAAAAAAAAAAAAAGCATTCATTCCGAAGCTGCCTGGGTGCTGGGGAGGACCATGCTAGGCCAGGGGAAGGGAGCACCACACCTGCTGTGCCCTGCTGCTGGGAGGGAGCAGAACCTAGGGAAGCTCCCCATGGAGCCTATTCACTGGCTCTAGGGCCAGGCACAAGGGGAGCTGGTGGGGGAGGAGGTGTCCTGGGTGTTGGACAGCAAGAGCAAAGGCCTGGGGTGGATCCTCCTGGAGGGGGCAGTGAGAATGGCTGCAGTTTCCTGGGGCCCAGTCAGCGCCAGACAGGAGGAAGACGCTGAACTGGTATAGGGTGTGCCAACTGGGGGTGAGCAAGGGAGAGCGAGGCCAGGACAGAAGCAGGCAGGCCTGGCACAGCATGCTCCACTCCTGGGCAGGACAGGCTCAGCTATGCAACAGAGAGCAATGCCCCTTGTCCCTCTCCCAGGGGCCCCTCCACCACTCTTCCTCACCCTGAGAAACAAAGACCCTCACTCACTCAGAATCTTCTTCATAGCGGGAGAGCCGCAGCCCCACATCCCTGGCTTTGGTCCTTCTGGGGCTTGGACAGTTTGGAGCAGGGAGGGGACTGAGACCATACTGCCACTACCCGGTGGTTCACCGTTACCAACCAGGACAAAGAGCTGCCTGCCACCCCACCTCCCCTAACAGGGACCCCAGGAGGTGGTCCTGAGATGCTCTGCTCTCCCAACAGACCAGCCCTTGGGAGCCAAGACCTACAGCGATCTGGACAGGGCACTGGAGTCCTGCTTCTCAGAAAAAGTGCCCACCCCACTTGGCCTCCCCTGGGGGTGGTACCCTCTCCTCCTGGCAGACCCAAACGCAGAGGCAATGACCTCGGGGCCACAGGAGGCCAGAGAAGGGTTATCTGCTTTGTCCACGGCATCTCACTTGTCCGCCACTCCCAAGCACACACCTCCACACACAGGGGCTTGTGAAACCTCTGTCCATGCCGTCACCTGCCTGAAATGCCCTTGCTGAGCCTCTCTGTGCCTCCCTCCCTGGCTGACTAGCATTGCAGCCTGGCCCTGAAGCAGAATGGGCTGCCTCTAGCACTGGGACTGGGCAGAGTCTTGGCTGCCTGGTGCAACACCTGGTCTCTCCTGCAAACCCAAAACCCGCAGGGAGCCGAGGGTACTGAGGGTGCTCCACAGGAGCGAGGAGCAAAGCTTGAGCCCTGCCCCCTTTTCCTGCGCAGACCCAGAAAACCGGCCCCTGCACACAGGAGAAGGTGCCCGAGCTAAGGCTCAGGGAGCAAAGGCATTGTCCACATCACCCCCAACACACACCCCTTTCTTTCAAGGGGCGTGGCCCCAGCACCCCACAAAAGAGGAATGGCAGCTCCTCCGGGCTCTAAGCAGTCACTGAAGCCCCTCTTACCCCCCTTCCCCGGCTGCACTTTGGATCTCACAGCAGGCAGGCAGGGGACTCTCTGGAGCCCCGCTCCCCTTCCCAGAGGCAGCCGGCGATCGGCCACGCTGCCCCAGCAACGGTGCCCTCCAGGCCCGGACCCTTCAGGAAGCGATCGGAAGCCTCCGAGGGAAGCGGGCTGACCCCGGAGAGGCCCCGAGAGGGGGAGCCCTAGAAGGCCCGAGCCAGCGGGCGGCCGCCCCCTCCCAGCCGGGGTGCGCGGCCCTGCCTGCGGGCCTTGGGCGGACCGACATAGCACCCATCTCCCGGCGCCCCAGGCCAGAGAGAGCAACGGGGAAAGAGGGGTGGGGGGGTCGTGGGTCCGGAGGAAACGGTTCCAG